GGCCTTTTAGGTATTGAGGCCGCTCTCTTGCTCCTGTTGTCGTTAACCACCTTCGAGTTCAGCTCCGAATCGTGGGGACTCTGTGGATGAGGCATCTCCAAGGCCCAAGACACACTGCAGAAATAATCCCGTTTGAGACCGCTTTAACTGCCCTGGCTCAATGCTAGGGAATTCTGGTAACTATAGTTTCGTGAGACATTTAGCCTTCTCTGTCAGAGAGCTCTGGTGCCACAATAAACTACATTTCCCAGGATTCTCCAGCATTTGAGCCAGGGCAGTTAAAGCAGTCTCAGACTTGATTATTTCTGCAGTATGTTTTGGACCACAGAGGACTCCCCTGTTTTCCACTGTTCTGGTCCAGCAAATTCATTCCCTGATTGAATCTAAACTATCTGGTGTGTGATCTTCCTTTCTTTTTAATACCTTCTACCATTCCTAGCATTACTGCCTTTTCTAATGAGTCATTTCATTTCAAGTATTTATGTCCTGCCCTTCTGCCACAAAGGCTTTCAGAGTGCCTTATAAATATTTAGTTAATTGACAAATTGGCAGTTCCCTGCCCTCATGCTTACAATCTAAAAAAGACATGCCTCATGCTTTCTCATGGTGTGGCCAAAGTACAACAACTTCAATTCAATCATCTTGACTTCGAGAGAGGGTTCAGGTTTCTCTGTTCTGGGACCCATTTGTTTGTCTTTTTGGCCATGCACGGTATCTTCAGTACTCTTCCCCAGCACCACATCTCAAATGATTTTATTTTCTTCTTATCCACTTTCTTCATGGCCCAGCTCTCACATCCATCCATAGTGATGGCGAATACAATGACTTGGGCTATTCTAACTTTATTGTTCAGTTGCATATCTTGACACTTTAAGGATCTTCTGTAGTTCTTTCATAGCCATTCTTCTGGTGAGTCATTCCTTCTCATGACGTGACCAAAGTATGACAACCTCACCTTTATTATCATGGCTTCCAGGGAGATTTCAGGCGTGATCTGCTCTAGGACCACTTGTTTGTCTCTTGGGCCACCACTCTTCTCCAGCTCAAAAGAATTTATTTTCCTCCTGTCTGCTTTTCTCACTGTCCAGCTTTCACAGCTGTACATGGTGATTGGGAATATCATGATTTGGATGATGCTCATTTTAGCTTCCTTGTAGACTTGAGGAAGTAAGCTGAAGTCTATGAAAGCTCATGCTTTCACCTTCTGTTTTTCAATTAGGGCCTTTGAAGACTGCCAGAAATAGTGCACATTAAATTGAGGTACTGCCCTGGCTTAGTGCTAAGGAGTCATGGGAATTGTATTTTTTTCTGAGACATTGAGCCTTTTCTGTCAGAGAGCTCTGGTGCCACAATAAATTACAGTTCCCATGATTCCCTAGCACTGAGCCAGGGCAGTGCCTCAATTTAATGTGCACTATTTCTGGCAGTCTGCAAAGGCCTTTAGTCTCAAAGATACCTTTGCCTACTGATTTTCCAGACTAACATGGCTCTGCATTTGAATTCTACCACCATAGTATATCTGTACTTTTTAGGATCATGCCTAGTTCTTTCATGGCTCCCCTTCCCATTCCTGGCCTCTTACTTATTTCTGGATTGCTTCTGTTACTCTAAGTACAGTATATGTTTGCTGCACTGCTTTGTTATATTTGTCCTTTCCCACCAGCCTCCTCTAAAATCAAAATGCATGCCAAGGGATGTGTGCCGAGTTTTCCTCCTTAGGGTGGGAAGCCACTCCCTTTGGGTTTTCCCCCAGTGCCCTGCCTAGGCGCCTGCCAGGCTGGCCCAACTCCAATGCATTGAGCATCTTGGAGAGAGACTGGGGGTTATTTAGGGCCCTTGTGGGGACTCATTCCCTTTCCCTTCCATGCTTTCGCAAGGTCCTTTACATTTAGTTGCTGGCCTTTCTTTACCAGCCTGTGATCTGTAAAAGTGGTGAACATAGGGAAAACAATGACTTCTGTTTCTCTCAGCCATAATCCACCTTAGCCTGACATTTAAAGTTCCATTGAACTCTAGTACTCTGAATTGAGATTGCTATCTATGTTCCTTCCAATACGCAAGTGACAGAACATTTATATGTTCTGAACATTCTGGCTACTTGAGACACTGCTTTCTTTCATTTAGGCTCATTCAGCCTTTAAGGTCATTGATGAGCTCATACTAATGGTGCCACATCTCCCTGAGTTCTGCTTTGTGATTGTTCTGAGCAATTCTGTTGTTCTGTTAGCAATAGCAAGTACATTTCTATACCGCTTAACAATGCATTTAAGCACTTCCTAAGCAGTTTACAATGTGTAAGCTAATTGCCCCCAACAAGCTGGGTACTCATTTTAGTGACCTCGGAAGGATACAAGGCTGAGTCGACCCTGAGTCCTTGGCTGGTATTCAGCTCACAACCTTGTGGTTTGTGAGTGAGCGAGTGGCTGCAGTACAGACATTTAACCACTGCATTACTAGGGTTCTGTTGTGTGTCATTTCTGACTTATGGCAACCCTATCATGGGATTTTCTTAGGAAGATTTGTTCAGAGGAGGTTTGCCATTGGTTTTCCCTGAGGCTGAGACTGTGTGACTTGCTAGGGTCACCCAGAGAGTTTCATGGCTAAGCAGGAATCAAACCCTAGTCTCCAGAGTTGTAGTCCAATGGCCAAACCACTATACCATGCTGAAGCATGGTGATATCAATGGTTATGTGAATATTCTTCATGTAGGTACATATTCAGCATGCTCCAACTATTTTTTAGCTTTAGATGTATCTTGCAAGCCATCCTTGCTTAGACCAGGCTGCCATCCATATTGCATGGATAATCCAAATAATATTTTGAATTTTGTACTTACTGTATTATTATTATTGTTATATACACCTTTGAAATTTTGTAATCTAATTAGGTTATAAGTATTCATATATTTATAAATGAATAATATTCAGCCTTAATTGTAAACCTCCTTAAAATTCTTGTATTAATATACTTTTCACTAGTGACTGATCTCCCCCTGCTGATCTCAGAAACCAATCAGGGTCAGCCCTGGTTAGTACTTGGATAGGAGATTCTAGCAGATACCAGGTGCTTTAGGCTATATTTCAAAGGAAGGAATTGGCAAAACCACCTCTGCGTATTACTTGCCTAAGAAAACTGCAGGAAATTCATGGGGTCACCATAAGTTGACAGCTGGCCTGAAGACACATATATGCACACACAACTGTGTGTTTCTATTATTTTATGTATTCATTTATTTAAAGCATTATTATCCTACTTTTCACCCAGAAAGGTTCCCAAAATGATGTATATATATATTAAAAATGAAACAGTCCTCACTGCAGGCTTTTAATAAAAAATGTACAGCATAAATGTAAAAGCAACTGGGAGAGTAGAGCTCATAATAATAATTTAAAATGCAGGTACTAGATTCTTGATTACAAAATTTTGCCAAAAAGTCATTTTGCTGGATTTAAAAGCAGTGGAAGCCCTGCTGCTTTCTCTTTTTCTGGTGGTTGTAACAGTGATATTTGGTCACTGGAGGAAGACCGGCTGTCCTCAGGAGTTTCATCAGGCAGGACATAAGGTGTCTGACTGCAGTTTTTTTCTGTAAGGGCATATGTTAGCGTAATGGGTGCCATTTCATAATGGCAAGACTGAAAAGTTCCTTGGAACACAGAGATTGCATGGATTATGTTGAAGAAGGATCAATGTCTGGAAACTAATATTTGCAATGTGTCACATCAGGTGGGACTGCTGGAATGAAAGACAAAAAAAAAGGGGCGGGGGTCCTTGAAAGGATTTCTTCTTAATTTATCATTGATATTTTAACAGAAGAAAAATAATCTATTCTAGGATAATTTCTATGTTTAGAGCAAAAGGTGCTATGAGGTAAACAGGCGTAGCAGAAAAGATTATGGTGGTGGTATTCAGCACAACAAAACTGTAATTATTAAGAGTTCTTTCCCCTCACTTAAAATACCTTTGTGCATCCTAAAAAAAGAATATATGAAGCTTGCAAATGAGGGTTCGAAAGAGATTTTGTTTCTAAAGGCTCACATGCATTCTGTGAGAATGCAAAATTTTCTCAGGTATTTACTACCATACTTTTTCTGAATTAAAACCAGAAGTCATTTCATACTTAGAATAAAATTGGAATATGGTGTCTTGTTTAGTTGCCAGAACAGTGGGCTTGCAGCAGCTGTCTGGCCCTAATAACCTTGCCTTCCAGTGTATTGTCCTCCTTTTCATTTCTGATGCTGACAAGGCAGTGTTAATACTATTAATTCCCTTTTGCTAATCATGGAAGCCATGGGTTGCATCAGGTCAACTTGATGTGATCATCCCTTGCAGTGATGTCATTCTGGAAGGGAACACTGGCTGGAAGGGAAAGGACCAAAGCTGCACAGGGCCTCAGTTCTCCAATAGCCATACACTGACAGTAAATCAGTTTAGTAGTTATTTATTTTAAATAGTTGTAGCCTATTTTTCTTCATGTACTTCAAGATAGCTGGCCAGAGTAATAATAAAAGAATGAGAGCAGAATGAATATGTGTAATAATAATAGTAATAAAACAATTAAAAAAGAGTGAAGGACAAGCTAGGGTAAGGAAACATTTATATACAGGTATGTAAAAGTATTGATATCGCAAAGGAGAAGGACTTGTCTTAATTGACAAGAGGATCTCTGTAGATTATTTTAACGTGAGGGTAGGCTCATGCTGAGGAAAAACTCTTTTGTTAAAAATCCTGGTCCAAAACCATACAAGGGTTTAAATGTCATAAGGAACCCTTTGAATTGGGCCTGGAAACAAAGAGGGAGACAGTGTAGATCAGGGGTCAGCAAACTTTTTGAGCCGAGGGCTGGTTCGGGGTTCCTCGAACATCGGAGGGCCGGAGTAAAAAAAAAAAAAATTAACTCGGCCCTCCAATGTTCCGAGGACCCCTGAAGTTTGTCCGGTGTGGCCGCGGGGGACCCCCGAAATTTGTCCAGTGCGGCCGCGGGGGACCTCCAGGAGAGCTCCAGCGACCGCACCGGGTTTTTTGTTATCTGCCATGAGGTCTGAAACAGATTCCCCATGGATACAATGGACAGCTGTATACTGAATCCAAGCATGTTAAACTGCATACCTCTCTCCATTCTTCTTCTTCTTCTTCTTCTTCTTCTTCTCTCTCTCTCTCTCTCTCTCTCTCTCTCTCTCTCTCTCTATATATATATATATATACCGTATTTTCCGGTGTATAAGACGACCCGCGTATAAGATGACCCCCCCATTTTTCCAGTCAAAATATAGAGTTTTAGCACCTCTATCCTCATTATCCTTATATCTGGCGTATAAGACGACCCCCCCCCACTTTAGCCACAGATTTTGCGGGTAAAAAAGTAGTCTTATACGCAGGAAAATAATGTGTGTGTGTGTGTGTGTATCTCAGTTTTGAGATAAAACAAGATGAAGACTTTATGGCATCTTATGCTTTATAGAAATTATAATGAGAACTCTTTGTATATTTAGGATATGCTCTGGTCATGTCCCAAAAGGATAATAGATCCTTGAAAGAAGATGCGTGTGAACCTGTTGAAAATGATCAGAAGACAGAGGAAGCTGAGGAAGCTGAGACTGCTGGGCCTGATGGAGTGGACTCTGAGCCAGTGGCCGTAACACGGAAAAGACCTGAAGTCAAAAGCTCTGAACATGTTATTTCACAGGAGCCCCTGGGCTACAAAGAAAAGGTATTGGAGCTAGATCTGCTATCACTAAATTTTAGTGTATATTAAAATGTTCATATTAGTGCCTCTTAGCAAGACTTAAGAGCAAAAGACGTCCTACTGAATTTGCTGATCTGTTACACACCATTGTGGAACTGTAAGAAGCAGACACAACTGTGTTTCATGAGTATTATGTAACTAAACTCATGGTGTGGTCTGTGCCTTCAAGTCGTTTCTGACTTTTGGCAAGATTTGTTCAGAGGTGGTTTGCCATTGTCTTCCCCTGAGGCTGAGAGCACGTGACTTGCCTACAGTCATCCAGTGGGTTTCATGGCAAAGCTGGGAATTGAACCCTGGTCTCCGGACTCATAGTCCCAACACTTGAACCACTATGCCATACTTGCTCTCACCTAAACCCATAAAGTATATCAAATATGGTGCTTGTCTTTTAGATTGATAAGAGTTCTTAATCCTACAGAGCAGATTTTGGCCATGCAAGGGAAGGGGAGATTACCTACTGTTTCTGGATTGCCACTTCTGCCAGTGGATGATGTCTAGCACTGAAACCTGCCTTTAGTCTGAATGTTTTCCAAAAGCATAAAATAACAATTTGGGGTATCTGGGCTTAAGTATGACTTGAATTTCAATTCACATATTTCCGTAGGATCCTTTGTTTTGCAGATGTGATTCAGCTGACCATTTTTTCCTTTTAAAGTTTCCTTATATTTGATTACAGGAATAACTGTACAAAATGATGAGTTTTAGCATTACATTTTATTTTTAAAAAATCTGATTTCTCTTGTACTGTTTAAAGAATACTGCTGTGAATGGTAATTTGATATTGATTACAAGTTTACTAACAAATTATAAAAAAAGTGCACAGGTTTATGTTAGAAATCTCCAGTGCAAATAGATTGGTATAAACATGTTTGGAACATGGCATTCTTAACTAAATTGGCTTATAAGAATGCAATAGAAAATTTGAACCCAAAAAGATTAGTTAGAAAACGGAATTAATTTGTAACCCATTATAATTATAAATTTGAGAGCTGTGTACCACCTTTTTACTGTTTTTGTAGCTGTAAGTAAGATTGTACTGTTTGTTTTTGTTGTCTTAGAAATATAATCATATTTTATGTTGTCATTAAGCTTGGTATGGAAGAAGCTATTTTATTGTTTGAATTTATGTCCATTTTTTTTGCACATGAAGCACCCAAAGCAGCAACAGTAACACCTAACATGATATTAAAATACATACCATAAACCAGTTCTAAGATTTAAAATATATTATTAGAGTGAGTTTGTTTGTTTGTTTGTTTGTTTGTTTGTTTGTTTGTTTGTTTGACTTCTGGCTTGGATTGATTATTCATAAACAAAAATATTGAAATTTGATAGATGAGTCATGTCCTCTTCCTTCCCCCCTTTTAATAGGGCTCCAGTTTCTCTGATGGATCACGTACAGGATGGGAATACTTGGGCAGCTGGGGGAAATCATTTCTCTCAACAGCTTCAGTTACAGTGGCTACTGTAGGTAAGGTTGGCTAAAACTCCAGTCTGTAATAGATGTTGCAATCCAGATCAGATTCCATTTTTTATTTGTTTGATTTTAGAAGTTAACAGTGGCTAAGCACTTTAAGGGAAAAAAAGGAAAAAAAGATCAAAACCATATAAAAATAAAAATATAGAACTAGTGAACCCATAGAGAGTTTATATGCTTTTTAAAAATGTGTGCCTTCTCTAATGGTATGGAGGGAGGGACTAAGCAGACGGGCGGCCGTGGACCACCCTGGGAAGCTGCGCCGCGGGACCGAGGCATCCCCATGCCTCAA